ATAATACAAATAAATAAAATAAAAACAAAGAAAAATCCTTTTTTAAAAAAAATAAAGATAAAAAATAAAAAAAGTGAAGTGTTGTTTACTTCAGCCAAGTTTTAATGCCCCATCAGGGCTGGTTTAAGACCTCACTCTTCTGTTCTGTCTGCCACTTCTCAGTTTCCTGTTAGGCAGTCAGCACCTTGTTGAAGTTCCATGGGATTCACTGCTCCTCTGTTTGTGTCTATCTCCACAGCCTTGGCTGCAAGTTGGCAGGACCAATCTCCCCACTTTGCCTGTCTGCCTGCTGTCAATCTTAATCACTCAAGTGTCTGTTTCTGACAGGGCGATAGGTGGGAGTGGTGCTGTATTGCTTTCCAGGACTGAATGGCCCCTCTTCAATCCAGTCCCTAAGGGCTCTTTGGGGCTATTCAGAGTCTTTGTGTCCTTTATACAGCTCAAGTGGTAGGCTGGGTGTGGCTATATTAGCTGTCTTGAGGCTGCTGGGAGGGACTGACTCTTTAGGAGAAAAATGGCTGTTTAGGTTTGGAGGGTCCGGAATGTCTTAGTGCTGGATTCCTAGTCACCTCTCCCCATCCCGCTCTCCTCCACAGCCTCCCCCCAGACTCCACAAATCCGCACCTCCACCTGTACAGCAGCCTTGGTGAGTGTTTGTATTTGAAAGTTCCTATGAACTGGGTTTATCGAATAAAAGCAATGACAAAACAGAGACAAAACCACCATGCAATTGTGAGTTTCTCTCCCCACCCCACCCCCAACTCCCCAGCACCGCACGGCTCAGGCAGCTCTTCAGGCTGCCTTTCTGGGTGCAGCCTCTTGCGGCTGTGGACTTAGATCTAGATTTCCCAAACACCAGCAGCCCCGTGGACTTCCTTTCCACTGTCAGATGTTACACCTATGCCTGAGGGACGCAGACTTGGTGCAGTGCAGCTTCCTTCTTACCCTCTCAGCCTGCCCAGATCCCCAATCCCACCGTTCTCCAGGAGTCGTCTGCCCTTCCCGGCTGTGAACTGTCTCACCAGCTATGTCTACTTTGCCAATTCCAGGTGGATGTTATTTGATTTAGTTGCTCCTTCTATCTGCTCTGGGACAAGGTGCAGGACTCACATCTGCCTATTCTACCACCATTTTCCTCTCCCCCAAGATCCTTTACTGTTGTACAATGTTTCTCAGGAGATGCTACTAACATTTTGAGAGAGAATTTTCCTTGTGCAGATAGCATACCACTTTTTGCAATACTTTTAGTATCCATCCTGACCCTTACCCACCAAACAGCAGTAATGCCTTTCCCCACTCACAATTTGCAATGTTCCCTAAGGGCATTGAGAACCACTGAGCTAATGAAAGACAGATAAATCACTGACCCATGCAGCCAGTGACTTACATCAAATTACCTTGCACTACTAGTTAATAGTGTCTATTATTCATCTGATATCTGATATCTGTAACTGTTTTAAATGTTATGAGAGTAGGATTGCCATATTTAGCAAATAAAAACTCAGAATGCCCAGTTATCTGGAAGCTCTATATTAGAAATAATGCAATGTTACATTCCATTCTCTCTTTACCCCACTGACTCAGGATCACCAGCAAACTGGAAACTCAAGTATTTGGGATTTTGGAAAATGTGTTAATTGACACATGGCTAAAGGAATATTTTCATCACATAAAAATCTAATTTGTAATAACAAATAATTAGTCTATTGAATGTAACTAAAAACAAAATACTTGTGAACATTTATATTTCTCCTGCTATAGATATTAGACACTAGAGGCCTGGTGCACAAAATTTCTGGAGTGGGGGCCTCAGCCCATCCTGTGCCCTCTCACAGTCCAGGACCCCTTGGCAGACACCCCTCTCGCAGTCCAGGACCCCTTGCTCCTTACCGCCCACCTGCAGCGGAGGCAGGAGAGGCTCCCGCCACAGCCACTGCACTCGCCAGCCGTGAGCCCAGCTTCTGGCTGAGCAGTGCTCCCCCTGTGGGAGCACACTGACCACCAGGGGGCAGCTCCTGCGTTGAGCGTCTGCCCCCTGGTGGGAGTAAATGTCATAGCGACTCTTGAGTCCGCAGGCCGACGCTCTATCCGCTGAGCTAAACCGGTTAGGGCAGGATTGTATATTCTTCAGCTATAATATACTTACTTACTTTAAAAAAAGCCAAAGATAGTCAGCAATTTAAGCAATAGGGCAAGCCAGACTCAAATAATTTCATATCAAATCTGAAAGGTTCATGAACTTCATTTCTTGTGGAATAAGAGATAAGGGAATTATAACAAAGAATAATTTCAGTTTTCCTGATTGAATTGTGAAAACTTAGAGCTTTAGAATTTTCATACAATCTCTGTTGACATGACTGACTTAAGGAGAAAAATGATAAGGTATTATTATCACATAATATGATATCTCAACTGAAAATATACTCATGTACACCAGTTTTTCTGTTTGTTTGTTTCATATTTTTTAAAAAGTGATAATTTCTTAAGGAAGATATGCCACAATGAATGAAATACCTTTTAACCCATAGTAAAGAAACATAGAAAAGCTATTATGATTGATGCAGCAAGTTTAGGAGAATGAAAGTTGCTATTAAATATGACAGGCTGTCACAACCAAAAAAAAAAAAGTAATTGATGTAAACATAGCAATAAATTTATATTTGTATTTAGTTTCTTTCAAGGAATTAAAATAATGGAAATATTTTCTAAGTCAATAGTTTGGAATAATGTTGGCAAAATAGCAAAAACTCAGATTAAAAATCTCTAAATGTGAAGCATATTAACATTATTTAGAGTCACTCCTCCACATGCTTTTGTTTTTCTTCAAATTTCCTTTAAGATAATTACATTTATATCCCTTTTGGTTTCCTGTGCATGATTATGTTATTCTTTTTCTTTGTGATTTAGTATTTTTAACCAGGCTTCCTATTACTTGGCTTCAATAAATCCATAATCAGCTAAAATTGGATTATTTTTGCTTTTCACAGCACATAATAAAATCTGAATTTCCTGTAATTATTTTCCCTATTGTAAAATCACCATTTCTTTTGTTACTTTAAATAAGAATGCTGTATAAATATATGCTATGATTATCTCCACCTGGTACTCAGTGAAGCGCCTTCATTAGGAACATTTTCTCAGAAAGTGATGAAACATTGCACATGGAGACATACTAACTTTGTGCTCAGTGATTAAATATCCCATCAGTAACAACTGAGAAATTAGTTTCACTGTTGGTGGAAAGTTACCCCAGAGCAATTTCTGGCCTACCTCTTGCCTCTTTTGCCACACCTCCTAACGTTTAAGGTACTTCAGCCCTGCTGGACAATTTTACTAAAGCCCCATGAAATCAACAACAAAGCCAGTTTACTCAGAGTACGTGATTTTCTTTCAATTGTTTCTTTAATCCAGTGTACAATGCATAAGACTCCCCCATTAAAACATTCTTTGTAACTTTGATCTTTCCTAAAAAGATCTCTAAAGATCTAAGAAATGCTGGCCTTTCCTAACAAGTGTCTCCATAGAAGCAAGATACATAGTGTATGATATACCAGATCCCTATAATCCTGGTCAAAATTCAAAGCCTCAAATTTTAACTTATTTTAGGAGCAAAATTTGTATCAAGAAACAGAGCAAAGTCTCTTCAAAAATAAAGAACTTGCCCTGGCTGGTTTGGCTCAGTGGAAAGAGCATCAGTCTGTGGACTGAAGGGTCCCAGGTTTGATTCCAGTCAAGGGCACATGCGGGCTTGACCCCAGTAGGGGGCATGCAGGCGGCAGCCGATCAATGATTCTCTCTTATCATTGATGTTTCTCTCTCCCTCTCCCTTCCTCTCTGAAATCAATAAAAATAAATTTAGGGAAAAAAAATAAAGAACTTGCTAAATCTGAGCGTAGGAGGAGAGATCTTAAGTCTCTGCATAAGAAAACTGCTGGGCCCAAATGAAATGCATTTCTTACAACAAACAGCATAGCTTGCTTTCAGGGTATTATTTTGATTTAAACTTAGATATACCATATCTTCCCCGTGCTGCCCATGCACTGGTAATGCATATATATTAAATTTACTTCTGAATGATTTTCGTGGTGTTAAGGTCATTGAAACACCATAATAATAATCCTACTACAATTCCAAAGTGCGAGGTTTCTAATTCATATTCAGACGTGAGAAATCTCCCACATAGGAAGTGGCTCCTTATTTGTTTTTTATCTATAGTGGAAAATATGTGTCCTGGGAGTCTGTCAGCTACCTGATATCACTTTCCCTTTAAAGTAGGCCTCAGTTTGCTGGTCTGTAAAATGAGAATTTTTTGACTGGATGATTTCTAAAGTCCTTCTTTGTTCTGACATTCCTTGATTCTATGATTCATTATATAATTTTATGGATAAATTTCCAAGTAATTTACTTTGTTTTTTGCTTCACAATTGCCTTCTTAAAAATGGGAAAGCATGTGGTTCTACCTTTGCAAACTCTCATGTCTTGTCCCAAATAGAAAAGTGTAACAAATTAAGAATGGTGTATATTGGTTTTCGTCCCACTCTTGCAAAAACATGGGTAATTATTGCAACTACAAGAGTTTTTCTTATTTGAAGCACTGATACTAACATATCGAAATTAAAGCACTGTTCCTTCAAGTGGGCACAGATCTCAGACACTGTTGTGGCTATTTCCGCATATCTGTAATCTGAATTCTGCAGGCAGACAACATCAGTTATGTGCATTTATATCCCCCTGGTCAAATGTAGGTTTAGAAATTGTATTTTAGCATTTGGATGCTTCTAAAGCTCTTTAATTGTAACTAGTTAAAATAGTTTTCTTTTTAAAATACTAGGTTGATTTTTTAAATTTATGAATAAAAATGCATTTCCTTTCTTTTAATTTCATAGCTTCCCTGTAAGGTTTGATGGACTTGTTGATGATAGGTTTTATTCCAGTTAAATGATCAACAACTTTTCTAAGAAGAAGGTTTTGATTAATGTCAATTTTTCATCTCTTAAAAGGATCCTTCCCGGCAATTGGCGTGGAGACGTTTTGCCCCAGCTTCCTGAGGGCAGGGTTTTTAAGCAGCATCCAGGCTCCGAATCCAGTGGCAGGGGGAGGGTCGCTGCCCCCCAGGATTCCTGCTGGTATGTAGTCCAGGTGAAATTTTCTGCCATCATATACAGCAGTAGGACTGTGCTCACAGTTGATAGATCCACAATAAAAAAAGTAAATATTTCTAAAGTACATTGTTGAGAGGAATGCAAGAGACTTTGTTTAAATGCAGGAATCACATTTATGATAACCAATGCTGTGAAAATGGTAAGAAGTGGAAGATCTGTAACCTGAGCACCTCATTAGCATAGTGCTAACATTTTAAAATGCAATTTTAAAGTTTAGCAAATCAGTTTGTGGGTTATCCATGGTACTTTTATAATCACAAATTGTGTGTTCTCTATCATTTTGTGAAATACCCAGCTGCCTTCCTCCCTTGTACCTGAAGAATGCAAACCTACTTTATATTTTATATGTGTCTTAACAAAATAGCATTAGGATATTGATTCTTGGAGTTTTTAAATCATAATTCTTGTCTTTTTATCATAATTAATAATTATGCTACAAATTATGGTGATGACACCAATGCATTCGGGAGAGCTGGCCCGGCCAGCGATATACTGGGAAATCCAATAGAAACAAAATTCCAACATGCACATTTTTTAGCAAAATTGTACCAACGAAGCCCAAGATTATTGCATTGACATTTTTCTTTTGCCTTTTATTTACACTTGCCTACTTAATTAAAACATACAAAGAGTTACAAACTATAAATAAGCTTTGATGTCGTTTGGTTTTATCATTGGATAATTACTGACATGGTTGGAGACTTGGTGACCATCAATGCTACACTGATAGAGTAAGAACCAAAAAAATGATGTGAATTCAAAATTAGCAATTTTAATTCTCATGAGTGTTTGCCACCTTTTCTCTCCCCAGAAACAAAAAGGATATCAATTGTACATTTTTTGTCGTCGTTGTTGCAAATATAAAAATGTAACTTTCATAAATAATATTAATATCTTGGTGATTGGAATTAGATGAATGGATCATCTGTATTTTAATGGCTTAATTCTTAACTGTTAATAACAAATCTTGGTAGATTTAGGTAGATGTGGTTGAAATGACATAACAAAGTTTGGTAGTGACTTGAATTATTCAATATCACTGATAAAAAATAATAATAATAACCCTTGTTTAGCCACTGAGAAGAATAGAAGCAAGATGAGGTTTCTGTAACACATACACAGAAACAACTTTCTAGAGAGAGATCTAAGAGAACACTGTAGCATTCTATTCTTCTAGGCTTTAAGCCAAATTTGCCTCTAGCTCTCATAGGAGAGAAAACTCAGTTCAATTTCCATGACTTAAATATAAATCAGGTGTAACAAAATTGCTTCATAAAAGGTTTATAGATCTAAACTTGTTTCTGTTCCCTCAATCTGAAATTAACTCAACTCACTTCTCCTAGCTTATGTAACTCTGATAAGGGATCCGTGTATACTTTCCCACTTTCAGTAATGACTGCTGTGATTTCCAAGGTAATCTTTATCCTCTTCCATTTAACTATAGCTTATTTCCCAAGAATTTTCTTTATAATTTTGTGTAAAGAGGAATGAAGCCATAATCATGGGTTTTTATTGTTTCATATTAAAAAGGAAAAAAAAGCTAAAGTATTTCTTTGCCACAGGGTAGCTGAACCGATGGCCCTTGAAGTCAGTTTGAGGGCAGGAAGGAGTTCCTCCCTTGACCTATACCATGGCACTGTAAACAGTTGGCCAAAGGTTGATGTCCTCTGGGCAGTAATTAATTTGTTTTCCACCAGTTGACTATTTGTCACAGTACTTCGAAGGTCCCTGAAGACATTTGCTGTGTCCTTCAAAGAATCACAAAACCTGTCCTAGTGATGATGCTAATTTAGTTCTCATTACTTATGTTAATCAAATTTAAATGAGATCCATGTCTTATATAAACTCGTTTCTTTGTATTCATGTCACACTGTGCTATCAAGGAGTGATATTTTACAGCACCTAACATATTTTTACATTAACTACAATAATAGAATTATTGAATCGTGGGACCAGAAAGCAAACACGCCTAAAATTAGTATTTAGGTAACAGTTGTCAATTATTTATATTGTTTATATTTGGTCCTCTTTATCCAAGGGTTTTGCATCTATGGACTCAACAAACCACAGTTGGAAAATATTTGAGAGAAAAAATCCCAGAAAGTTTCAAAAAGCAAAACTTGAAAGTATTTGAGAAAAAGAATCCCCAAAAGTTTCAAAAAGCAAAACTTGCCACATACCAAGCATTATACTGAATTCATGCAAATGAAATTATGAGTACGCATACCCTACTGTAACCTATATACTATCTAGGTTATATGCAAATGCAGCCCATTTTATATAAAGGACTTCAGCATCCTTGGATGTTGGTATCCTGTTTGGGGGGAAGGAGCTAGAATTAACCCAGTGCGGATACCGAGGGACTAGAAAGATCTGGTAAAGGCTTATTATTCTTAGTTTCAAATCAAGAAAAACACCAGGACATAATTGGCTGACAGTTGAATAGCAAGTATATTCATATATTGAATGCAATGTCTTTCATAATGAAGTAAGTAAATCACAGGAGAGAAGAAGAAGGGAGAGCAAAGGTGGGAAGAGAGAGGAGAAGAGAAGGAGATGGGGAAAGAAAGGAGAAATTAGAATGGCATAACTAAAATTACGTTTTTTAATATCAAAGTCTTTCCTACTGTATTCCTCCCTATTAAAATCAAATTCTACTCCTTGAAAAGAATGAATGTGCCTATTCTAAATATATTATCAGGCATATACTCTAAAATGATAATAAGCTTGCTCTCTTTGCTATATCTAGTTTTTTTATTTAATTCTATAACCTAACAGTTCTTAGAAGTGGGATAGAACATTTTAATATGCCATTGACTATTCATTCTACACAGGATCTTAGACTAGTAGCTCACCTTCAGACTCTGCCTCTATCATAATATTTTATATTATAGAAGGTTTCACATGCTTAACATACATAAATGAAAGCAGAATAATAAAATCATTGAGAAATAAAATTATGCAATGAGACTAATGGAGTAATAATAAAAATTTCATTGATTCGGTTTTCTCTGTCACTTCACAATAAGTATCTGACATCATATGATATCTTAAATTCACATAAACTCCAAACATTACTATGTGCCTCAAAAACCAAACTTATTTATAAAATATAAAGGGGTATTTATTATCTGACGATTACTTAGAAAATACTATCCTAGGTTGAGTACAATTTGGATCAACAAAATTCTAACTTGATTTTTTTCTGTCATTTTTCTGTCACTTGTGGGAGACTGGAAAAATAATACTCTTCATTAATGAAGTAACTCGTATATGTAGGTTAGATTCTAGGCCAAACTGAAACATATACCTACGCTAACGAGCTTTGTCGACTATAAGTGAAGTCTGCGAAAGAGGAAACAATGAAAACAGACAGCATGTGGGATTTAGAAATGGATAAGTTCTGAAAGAAAGAAAATCAGTGTTGAAGCTCTCCCTAAGATTGTCTTTGTGGTTAATCTTAAAAGCTCTCTAGTCAGGGAAGGACTGTTCTTCGGAAGCCCCACCCCAGTTTCCTGCCTGTGCTTTAACACAGTGCAATATGTAACACACCTCTTTTGACATTTCTACCTGAGCTTCTTTTTGTTGCATGACATGTGTTAAGTTCAAAGTAAAAGGCAAAGATGGAATAAATAGTTGATTTCATCTTTCCCGCCCCGCCCCTTATTGCTTTTGGCAAAACCATCATTCTCCCCTGCCTACACTGAACCAAATAACAGCAGAAATATGAACACATGGAATTAAAAATGAGATTTCATAATTAATAATGAAGTTTAATGTTATTTAATTCTTTACCCTTTGGAGATTTGAATGAGCCTTAAACTCCAATAGCCAGACATTTTAATATCCTCAGTACTGTCCCCTGACTATCAATGTTAAGAAATGAATTCACAACTCAGTTGTCTATACACCACTAACAGATCCATCTTGGACCATTTCTATAGCAATCGACTTACAATGCTGAGCCAATAAGAAAATGTCTTCTGTGTCATTAACAATGATTATCAGTGTCTTTGTTTTATAGTTCATGTAAGATCCTATCTATATGGAGTCAGAGCAAATATTGCATGCTTTATTCTAAAGGCAAGTAAAATTTTTATTCAGAAGGCGAACAGTTTAAATGTTAGAAGTAAGTCAGGAATGACAAATAGGGTTAGAGCTGCTAAGAATCTAGGATCTAGTGAACATGATATCAGTTTTGGATGCATATAGAGGACTGCAGAAAAGCAGTAACAGAAACATATAAGACTAGGTGGCAGACTGTGGAGGAATGTACAATAAGTTAAGGAAAACTGGCATGAACTCAATATGTCAAGGGAAATCAGTGGAAAAGTATATACCTTTTAAATACAATCAAACTGCAGTACAGAAAAATCGAAGCAAACCATTTTATTTCTTCATATGTTCAGGCATTCTAAGAAAAAGTCAGTAACTTTGTTTTAGGTTTACAATTTGACGTTTCAAAATTAATCACTTTTGGCAAGACAGTTTCTGTTGACTACAGTTCTCCTGAGGATGGTTATTCTTTTTATGTTTTTGTAATATTTATAACAACTTACCTATTTTATCTTTAACAAAGTATTGTTGTAATAAATGTGCATAACATATAAGAAACAATGGTGTCGTTTTTTTAGTAAGAGATCTTCAGGGAGAAAAAATGTCTTTAATTGAAAGGTGTATATTTTACACATTTCTGCAGCTGAGAATGTTGCCTATTACCCTGAATGAGGTATATGTGAATGAGTGAGTTTGTGTGTGCTTACTTAAACCAAAAGGAAAACTGGATTAAATTTGCAAAGTAAAATCCTGAACAAATGATTCAAAATGTAAATTGTGGTAAAAAGAACAGGCATCATCTGGATTCCTAACTCCTGGTTTCTCTATTCCTTGTCATATGTTTGATTTCAAGCCCCAATAGGTCCCTCAGTACCCATTGGCCAGTTCTCCCCTAGAGAGCTCCCCTT